TTTATAACCGCCTGTGAAATTGCGATTGCCGAAGGGAATCGACATGATAAGTGGTTCACGAAATTTGGCTGGGATCGTGTCATCACCTTGTTCAACTCCATATCCGGCCACAATTGGAGCAAAGTTCAGCTTCGTAACCACTAGGATGCAATGCGTCGAGAGTACAAAAAGCTTACCGAACTACTGTCATGTACCGGGGTTGAGTACAACCCATCTGATGGCCGGATAGTGGCATCTAAGGAATGGCGGAATAGAAAAAGGTAAATTGGCTCCTTCGCTGTGTTACTTTTTGTCCCGTGGACATCTGGTTATTTGTTCGATAATATAAGTAACATTTTGTAATATGTTATTTATCATGCACTTTAGATAGTTCAAAATTGTGGCTATGGAAATTATCACTTAGGAAGAGTTAGATTTTGGCAGGAATAAAATAGGGTTCCACATGTGATGCACATTTGAAAATTGGGTCTTTTTGTAGCTACAGGAAAACAAAGATTATAAGGACTTCAAGGACAAAGATATTAGTGATATATACATCCGATATCAGCAGCTTTTCGAGGATAGCTACGATGGGGATAAGTATGCAGTAACCCATACCAAGTTGTGTAATACGAGCTTCAGTTTGTTCGAGGACAGTGCAGTGGAGGACCTGAGGGATGCCATCCCTATGGATGAGGAGAGCACTGGGTCGAATGATGAGGCTGATGAGGGGCACTGTATCTCTGATTAATTTGTGTAGACCTCGTAGCGGCGATAAGAGGAAGTCTGGCTCGAGTTCCTGAAAAGGGAAGAAGAAGAAAGTTTCTGCGAAGGATTTGTCGTACTCCGTTGATCGGGCAAACAATGTCGCCGAGGAAGTGGCGGCGCAGATAAACAAAATTTTGAACCCAGATAAGAACGCTAGTGTGGCCTACTTAGAAAAGTTGTTGGCGGCAGGAAGGCTGAAACGACACACGCCCATGTACTTCTTCACTTGTACGCTTCTAGCACATAAGCGTTTTTGGGACATGCTAGACGTTTTCCCCGACGCCGATGAAAAATTTGAGTGGATTGAGTGGCAATTCAATAGGGAGAACAAGTCCCATCCATAGTTCTTTGATAAATGAACTCTACGTCTATATTAGTATTTTCATGTTCATTTTTTTTTTGTCTATTACTTTATAAGATTTGTAGTTTTATGTTTGTATAATATGCCTTGGTATGTACTTTTCGAATTGTGTACAATGCGTCATGTGCTTTAATACCTACTGGACAACAGAAAACTACGAAATAGGTTCACATGAATTATCGTACATGCATCCTTTATACAAATTTGCGCAGTACTGATAAAGATTCCATGTTACATTACACAAATATCACGTACAAACAGTCCAAACTTGCGTATATAAAAATACTTGGGATGATTGCTATGATAGTAACACATCATTCCATTCAGAGAATGCTTCAATATCATATTCATTTTTTTGCAAAATTACTAGCCAAATCAGTAATTTTGAGATATACATCATGGACGAGTTAGATTTTAACTGTGATATTCTTTCGGGATTAGAAGATGATGAAGAAGTCAATGATGAAGAGTTCATTGGCTAACTGAAAATAACGTCACGAAATAGATGACGTACTGTCGAATGGCAGCAAGCGACGCGTCACACTACTATCGCAAACAACAACGTCGCATCCGACAATTTTCTTTTGCTAGGAATGGTCATATGTTTACGAAGGAAGCGATGGAGGAGAACGCACAAATATGCTATCAGGAGTTCCGGATGTACCTATAGCAACTATGACACTTTGATCATACCTTAAGGGACGAATACGGTCTACACAGTGGCCAGCGCATCAATATATATATATGAGAAGGTCGGTATGTTCTTGTGTATATTAGTGCATGGAAAGGCATACCAATAGGTGAATGCAATTTTCAATCATTCATTGCAAACAATATGTCAGTACTTCAAGGAGGTTCTTCATGCAGTCGTTACGTTATCTGCTCGGCTCATACAGCCAAGACCGAACTACAACGACGGTGCAAATCCCCACAGGCCAAATCCGAATAAGCATCCATTGTTCGAAGATTGTATAGGTACGATAGACGGAACACATGTGAAAGCTATGCTTCAGCGTCACGAGCGGGTAAACTTCATTGGCCGAAAAGGAGTGCCAACGCAAAATGTGTTGGCGATTTGTGACTTTAATTTGTGCTTCACTTTCATGCTTCTAGCACAATCGGGAATAGCATGACGCTCGTATACTGGCATGCACAATACATAGTCCAAAAATTTGTTTCCCAAAACCGACAGTGAGAAAGTATTATTTGGTAGACTCGGGGTTCGCACATCGAATTTCGCGACAATGGAACAGGTCATCGGCGTCGTTTTCGAAATGCTCGTGAGCGGTGTAACTACAAACACTCATCGTGCAGGAACGTAATCGAACGTGCGTTTGGTGGTTGGAAGGAAAGATGGCAAATCCTGGATCGGATGCCCAGCTATTCGTTTCGCTCTCAAACGTCTGTTGTTGTTGCGACAATGTGTATTCATAATTTTCTACGTCGTTCTGGAGTCGTGGATGCGGCGTTCACTACAGCTGAAACGGATGAGGATGCGTTCGAGGTGGAGCTACCAATCGCTGAAGATGAAATGCATGCTGAAATTAACGCTCCGAAAATGCATCGAAGTGAGTGGGACAGATTTCACGATTATATGGCACATCAACAATAAAATGATTTGCTTGTTTTCCTTTTTTAACTCCATTGTGTGAAAATCGAATGCACCCGACGGTCAAAACATCATCATGGTTTTGATGAAAATAAAGTCCCACCATTATTTTGTTCATTGCAATTGATTATTTTGGTTGGCCTCACACGGTTACAATCTTTCGATGGTGTCGATGAAAATAAATTCCCGCCATTTTGGTGGGATTTAAGTAATCCACCAAGTTTTTTTTCCTCTCGTATTGGATGAAATTGTAGATATGATGGATACAAAAATTATCACTTTTATTGGAAATTTGTATGAAAAATAAAGTCAAACGAACGGTATTAGGTGATATAAATTTATTTTCCCGGAAAAGTTTAGCTGTACACATGTTCCATCCCTACTTTTTTATGGAAAATAATTGTTTTTAACTCAATTGTCATGGAGGGCAAAATCGGAAAAATTGAATAAAATTTCAATTGCCTGACAATACATGGTTGTCATTTAATGTTCCTGATTTGAAATAATTAATTCATTCTTTTGTAATAATGCCTACCAAACGGGGGCTCAGTAAACATGCTTTGGCCAGAATGCATTCATTAGTTGGTACTACTTTAACCAAACTGATATTTATATGTTGATCTATAGTTGACTTTAATCTTAAAGTTTTGATTATAATCAATAAGTTAATCTTATTTTTTAACAATTGATTTAACATATAAACGGCCCCCATTTTTACAAAAACTCATTTTTTCAAAACTCATTTTCAATCATACATTCTTCCATAAAAAATTTTACACGAAATTGAAAAATTTACTTTCTTTCTTAAATACACATTTTCTGAAAAATCATTTTTTTCAAAATATATTTTTCTTACCAAAATGGGGCTTAAAGTGATCGTAGTCTTCAAAAGTATTCATTGAGAAATCAGCGGTCGTCAAAAGATCATGATCAAGTTTATCATTATAAATTAGACTCCGCAAATTAATCTTATTTTTTAACAATTGATTTAGTGTGATCATAGTCTTCAAGGTATTCAATGAGAAATCGATATTCGCCAAAAGATCAATATCTAGTTTATCATTATAAATTGGATTCCACAAAGAATGTCAAGATCGAAATCACGTATTTCAAAGCATTCAAGACGAGAGGTTAAGAGCATGAATGATAAAAAATAAAAAACTATTTTATGCACCAAAAGTTATTTTTTATTATAACTTACATAAAATATTTTGATCAAGATAAAATTGATTTTCAAAATGATATTTGAACTTGAATTATATTTTTAAAATATTATTTATCTTTCAAAAATTAGTTGAAAGAACTTTCCAAAATTCTACATTTTTTTAAAACGTTCGGATCCAATCAAACAGGGTTCAACGGGACAACCGATCTGATAAACTCTTCGACTGTTCCATCCAACCGATCGATTGAAATGATCGATCGAATAAGGAAAACGATCGACCGAAAATGTAATATTCCAAAATTTAAACGTTTTGACATCAAACCCTTTTGTCCAATGGCTATGTTTTTTAGCCATCCAAACTTTTGTATGTTGACCGATCTTTATCCGTATTACGAAATACATCATATCCTTTCATTTTGGCGAAATACCCCATATATGATCTTTTAGGCGTGAAAGACCCCATACCATCCAAATCCGTTACTTTAGGCGTTAAATCTACTTAAAATAGACAAAATTAAAAATAAATAACTGTAGCTACAGTCCCAAAACTTTTTACTTTTTTTGAGATTGTACCCAAATCTTTTATTTATGTCACATACAATCTCAAATCTTTAAAATCTTATTTTTCTTCTTCAATCCCACACACACCCTCAAGATTTCATTTTTTAAAGGCACGGGTGGAATTTGAGAATAAAATAAAGTTTTAAAAGTATGAGACTATAATAGGCACAAATAAAATGTTTAGGCATAATATACAAAAAGTAAAAAAATTGGGATCGCAATTGCAATTATCTCTTTTTAATCTTGACTCTTTTAAGTGGATTTAACGATTTGGACGGTAGGGGTCTTTCGCATCGAAAATGTCATATAGGGAGGAATTCTGTCCAAAACAAGAGGATAGGGGATATTACGTAATATGGGTAAAGGTTAGGGGGTTTTGTGTTAATTATCAAAAATTAAACAAGAAACCTTTCAAAAGCAATGTTTCCAGAAAATAGAAATTTCTACAACACGCTTGTGACTTGGAATTTCGAATTCTTCAAGGAGGAGTTTAAAACCTCCCCTCTCCCTCTACAGATTGATCCAAATTCCAACAATATTCCTTCAAAGGAGCGTTAATGGCGTCAATTTACTGCTGCAAAGAGTGCGGAACCAATCTAAATCTTCACTCCACCTACCTCTACCCGCCGGATTTCTACTTCGAGGCCGGCAACAAAGGCACCCTCTCGTTTTCCGCAATCGATTCCTCCAAATTCAAGTTTGATAAAGAAGACAAAATTCGGCCCTTTTTTGAGACTGTTAATTACTGGGGAATCCAAAGGAAACGTACCAAAATCAAGTGCAATAGCTGCGGAAAGCTCGTCGGGTATATTTACGATGATGGGGCGCCGATGACGGATAGTCCGGGTCAGTTCCATATGGGCCCGAGTCAGGTTGTGCCTAGAAACCCTAGGTACCGGTTCAAGACTAAGGCTTTAAGGATTGCTTCTGAGACTTGATTTGAGGATTTTGGGTTTTGTAAATAATGATTAATTGGGATTGATGCAGGATTTGTTTTGTATACTAATACAGATTTTTTTATGGTTTTGACTTTTTGTGCCTATTAGTGTAAATTTTTTCTTTAATTGAATAAAATTATTTAGTTCACTATGAAATCTCAATGGATTTTTTACTTTAACGAAAGCAGCAGTCACAGGTTCTTTGTTAAAGAGGACCTAATATTCATTTGAAGTGTTCGTTTGTTTGACAATTTCAATTGTGACAGTTTGATTCTATGATTATTTATTGAACACTTGGAATCCTGATATGTCATCATGATGTTACTATGTGATTATTGATGGATTTCATTGGAAAATGGGACCAGTTACGAGAATGGATTGGTTGAAGCTTGAGAAAACATTTCATTGTTTTGTATAGAAAAGGAAAAAAAAAAAAAAAAGAAGGCAAAACAAATAGCTAGAACTTTTATGGTGAGGTTTGTTAGTTCTGTGGTAAAACGGATACATAATTGTCAGATTGAAATCTCCGAAGAATGGTATGAATGGTGTCGGGTGAGCTATTGTTATAATTTGTTAGATGAAATGAGAGTTTGGTTTGATTTCAATATTGTTGCAACTTGATATTTATGTGTTGTTTATGCCAAATGGTTGTCTTATAGTTTGATCTGGACGGTACCATCCTTCTAAAAGAATTTAGTTTGAACTGCAAGTTGGTATTGATGTGTTGTTTATGCCAAATGGTTGTCTAATCATCGTACCTGGATGATAGCACACCTTAAAGTTCCATTTCTGTTTACTTCATCTTCCCTGGTCTTACATGGAATAGAGCACAAAAGTATACAAATTTTTGGTCATTATAGTCAAATCATGTTTACGTCAATAATCAATATGTTGCAATTGAATATGAAGGCAGGTAAGGTGTCAACTATACACCGAGTATCTTATTCAAATTTGAAAAATTATATAAGGTCATGTGTATTTTTTTATTCTTTATGTTTCTTAACTCCTATTATTTTGTTTATTTCAGTGCTTGTATTAACACACAACATATGCAAGAAAAATCTTTTGCAAATCTTCCACATACCAGATCTTTGATTAGAAGCAATTGAAATGAAGCAACCAAAACTCAAGGTCAGCCGACCACCTACACCGTTGCCACTGATACCAAGGTTTATTGTTATGGGGAAACGTATGATTAAGTCACCAAGTGTGACCAAGCAAGAGATTGCTAATTATTGGAAGCAGAGGCGCATGGTGGAGGAAGATCATCTTTCTGCTGCTTTAAAGGCTGCAGCTCGTAAAAGGGCACAAAATTTTTCAGTAAGTTTTACCTCCATGGTATCATTTTAGGATACAGTTTATATAGACTCAATCCAGTAATTTGAAGCACTTTGTTCTTTATTTTGACTGAATTTAAATTATACCTTGCTAATATATTCCTTCCATGTTTTGAACATTCAACTTGTTATAACAGAAATATATGCTAAGCCAAAAAGTCTCCTTTTAGATCTAAGGTTTGAGAATTGCATGGAGGACGTTTGGCTAAGCCAAAAAGTCTCCTTTTTAGTTGCTTTTTAAGCTTAACCAAACATGCTGCAACTTGCCTTGGTCTAAAGTGCTGTGAATATGTTGTTCATGAATCAAATGCTTAAAGGTTCCACTTTCTAGTGAATTGGGATTTTAATGTGGGCAGTCACTAATTTTGTTTTAAGTACTCGTGATCGCTAGGGTCTGTTTCTTTTGCAGATATAATTGTGAAAGATCTAAAGTTTTCAATATTTCAATTTTTATGAATATGATTCAGGAATAAATACTGATTCTTTTCCTAATAAACCGGTTAAAAGTATAAAAATTTTAAGGGTATATCTCTTGGTTTTTTTTTTTTTTAAATTCTCTAAATAAAAATCAATCAGGAAATTGAATAGTGAAACCAATGTTTTAAACTGCTAAGCTGGTGAAATGGGTGAGCGTCTGGTCTGTTTCAAGCTATCAGATCGGATTGCACTTTGCCCTGTCAAAGCTGGCTGGTTTCATAAAAATGGTGGCTGAGTTAGTTAAAATTCATACTGCTCATTGAATTCTTTAATAAAACCATGAAGTCGAGTTCAGAACCCTGTATCTCAGGGTAATTAGTCAACTCCATTGCCCCCAAGTCACTTGTGGTAGTTGGCTAGTTGCTATAGTATGGCTTCAAAAATATTATAAACGGAAAAATCACCTATTTCTATTTTTTTTCCCTTCAATCTACACCTATAATATTCCAAATAATGGTTCCTATTGGCATATCTTATGCATAGTTTTAGATTCTGGATTGGTATCAATGCATGTTGTAATACAAGAAAAATCATTATTTGGTTTCTATCTTTTCTTTAATTTCGAATGTTCTCAAAACCAAAAGAATTGATAAAAGTTCAAGTCAAAGTCAACAATTAATTTTAGCTACACATTTCATGGGATCCACAACTTTTATCTATTTTTCAACCATATATTTCATCAGTTTTTATCATAATCTACTAAAAATTTGATTTTTAACTACACCAACTTTGTAAGTAATGACCCAGTGGTCTTACTAGTGGCCCATTGGTTCAAGTGGTGAACCTATACTTGACTAGGTCAGTGCTAGAGTCTGGTTCGAACTGGATTTGATTTTTTATTAAAAATATAGGATTTGCAGGATAAATCTTAATCACCCAGTTCCTTTCAACTTCAGGTTCAACAAGGCCCATATGGGAAGATATTTCAATAACACTGAACGAACAGGGCCGTGTCGGCCCTGTTCGTGATGGGGGGCCAGCTGTGATAAGTTGGGGGAGAGACTACGTGGCGCTTTTCGTGTAGCAAAACTCAACATATTTTCTTGATCCTTTACTTTATGTTCAGATAGCAAATTATGAAAGCTCCAGTACTTTTCCGGATCAATATTCCCTGGCATTTTATAGTAAAAAATGCGATTCTAATGACATTTTGTGTAACTTGTTACCCTTCTGTCATGTTTTCAGGACTCATGACTAAGTTTTTATTGATGTATATGCGAGCATAATATATAGGTTCTGGACCCTAATTTCATGTCTAGGACCTGTAAACATACTATACCTAACTGTTATAATCTAAATTGCAATTCTATTATGTTGGTGATTAACTCGGTTTAAGTTTCTGGTGTATAGGAGCATGATTACCAGCAATTTGAATACTCCTTGAAGCAGAATGATGAGTATGAGAAGGAGAACAACAAAGGAATTGGTGACAATGAAGAGATGCGGGTGGGAATCAAGGACTGGTAAGTTGAAATATTTATAGGTGACGATTCCAATCCGGTCAATTATAGTTCATGTTCAAATAAGAAAAACTTCTAGGGCATGTTGCGGGCACTTGAGAGCGTAATTGAACAGCATTAAGGAATAGAAGCATATTATATCTTGTCCTTTCGAGTCGAGTGTAACAAAAATGTCCATATGGATTCAAATTCTAGTTACCAATCATAAATCAAAAAGTTTGAATGAGCAATAATAAGCCAAACTGTCAAAACTTCAACAATGTCAAAAGGAAATTGAGTGGATTATTGATTGTTTTTTTTTTAATTAATTGCAGGTGGATGAAGAGCGAATATTCGTACCTAAACCAGCCAACCATCAACTTGGTGGATAATCGTAGACGACGATACTCCACTTATACCCCCCAAATCTTATGTGACAAATCTGATCCCCGACTACGACATACGGAATTTACTTGAGGATTTTAAATAGATCGAATGGCATGATTGTTCTACTAGGGAAGCTTTTATGCTGATGAAGCTTGTGTATATGAATATTTATGTTCGTGTTGTAAATATCGAAATAGACATGTTGAAAATGGCTTAAATTATTGTGAAGCATGCACAGTCGTGGTGTCGAGTGTATATTACTATGTATTAGACACTCGAGAACAAACGTTCAAAAGATATATGATGTATTTCTGTTTTTATGTTTTCATTTAAATTTGGACATGATTCGATATGCTTTGAACATGTCTCTAACGTGCCATGGGACGTGCCTTGTAAGTTCAATTTAAATTTTTGATACTTGGGGATCTGTCCATACATGGATTTGCATTTTCTTCATTTCTAAGGTGTTTTAGGCATGATCTTTATATGTGAAGGGACATGAATTATTAGAATATGAAATTAATGGAAAATTCGAGCTTCATTTCTGTTTTTAAGTTTTTACACACACTTTAGCTTCTATTGGTTCAACCCACGCCAGACTAGATGTGTTAACTGTGTCACGAAATTGTAGCCAAACGTGGCTCATTGGTCCAATACCTATTTCTCATAACTAAAAGTTTCTCGAAAGTTTGACCCACCTCTAATTATTATTATTATTTTATTTTATTTTTTGGCGGACTCATTATTAGATTGTAACGCGTTTCATGATTGAGAAAAACAAATTTTGAAATATCGTACTTTTAAGCAATTCATTAATAAGTGTGGACAAGCCCATAAGCCATCATAGTCTCATTTAAATATTCACATAAAGTTTGCAGTGTGGACAAGTCTTTGATTAAAAAAAAATAAATAACAATTGAAAACAAGGCACTTGACGACTCTCATCCCTAAATTGGATTAGCACGACCATATTTATATATTCTCCATCCATTTCATTAAAATGTTCAACTTTCACATCAAAATGGTGCAATTTCTAGACCATTTTGAATCCATTACATCGAATATAACAACAGATGAATAATTTTTCATTTATTTCCTTATATTACTCAATAATTAATTTATTTAAAAAATTATCTAATTACAAATTATATCACATACTAAAATTTTGTGATACTAAAATTACTAAACTAAAAACTACCTTTAATTAACAAAAATATCGTATTTATTGATAAATTAGAAAAGATTACACTTAATATCACAATTAGAAAAAAAAAGGGAAAAATTCAAAACCTAGACCATAACTATAGGCCATTTCAAAAATAAGGTAACAGGTTTAAAATTTCTAAAATCAGAGAGAGATATATATGTTAGGTCCAATGTTGTAATCAACATATTTGTGAACAAAAGAATCTTAATTGAACACTTGTAAAAAGTCGAGGATTTGGATGCAATTTTGTATAGATGAGTTAAGTTAAGGTTAGAGGTTGAAAACAAGGAAAACGCGGCGTCGGAATTTCGCTAGACTGTCACCAGGACTTGGTTTGAGCGTCAGAAACAGAAACTATCTTGCCCGCCTATCGCATCGCTGTCGCTCGAGCATCAGGTCACAGATGCAGAAAGCGTCAAACAACATGTCATGGTACTGATTGGTGTACAATCTAATGAACTAGAATTTTCATTACTAGATATGTCGTCACATATATGCAGAGCAATAGTAGAACCATCATGTCACATTTCGAACAAGAAACCACGGTTGTATCGCTCGCTAATGCTAGGGATGTAGAGAGATGAAGGGTTTTCCGTAACAATGAGATTCTAAAGTTGAGATGTTTGAATACGTTGTTGTTGAATCAGACAAAAAAAAAAAAAACATTCTTGTCAAGTGTTCACATGACGAGTATAATTGGATATGCACATCATCAAAGTTGGCCAAAACAGAGATATTTAAAATTAAATATATTATAGAAGGTCACACACATGCTTCAGATATTGTATTAGGTTTTCATAGGCAAGTAACAAAGTCAGTTGTGTCATCTTGCATCAAATACAAGTGCACATCGTCGCGCACTATATACATTCCAAATGATATACGTAATAACATGTTGCATACATATGGAGTATCTTTGAACTATATGGTGAAAGTGGTCACAACTACAGAACTTGCGACAACTTGGTTATGTTAAATCAAAGACAATCAAAAAACAAAGAAACGAAAAGGAAGTTAACTGATGATAGACATGGACAATAATTCGATGATTTGTTTATTTTTTTCATTCAATTTTTGTATGTGATGTTTGAGAGGACAAATATATTGATTCAAAAAATATATTTGTTTATTCTTTCATTAATTTTTTTACAATTAGTTGCCCAAAACCACATGTGACCTGTGTTGTAATCATTATACTATAATCTGTGACTTGTGTTGTGTCCATTAAAAAAAATCCATAACTATTAATAATAATCTGTGACCCGTGTAATATCCCGTTATCAATCAATATGCACAAGCAAACATGTCCTGTAACCACTAAACATTTTTTGTGACCAATATTATGATTATGTGACATGTTCTATCCTGTTATCAATCATTATACAATAATCTGTGAACTGTATTGTGACCATTGAAAAATAACTTGTAACTAATAAAAAGAATCTGAGTCCAAGATGTATCATGTTGTCAATCATTATACAATACTCTGTGACATGTGCTGTGACCATTTAAAAAGTAACATGTGACAAGAAATAATAATCTGTGACCTGTGTTCATAGGACAATAGTTATGTGTTTATCGTGGACAATGATATGCAAAATTTGATGTCAAGACAATAACATTGAACGACTAAGACATCTGATTAAATGCAACTGATTAACATCCCAAGTCAACTGATTAAAATCCCAAGTAATAACTACAAAATTACATGTTCAGATTTAATGTTCAGACTACATTTCAAGTGTCACTCTATGGCAATACTTGCTCCTCCAGTTTGCCGCGCACCTTCTTTGTAGCCTTTTTTATTTCCCGATGTTTAAATAGC